GGGGAATAGAGAGATGGGGAGGGGGGAGAAAGAGAGGGAAGAATGCCCCCCCTCCCCTGTCCGCAGGCACCGCGCGGGCAGGGGAGGAAGAGAGGACCTGGGAGCTCACCCTGCAGCTCCTCTGGGTCCTTCTTGCGCGAGCACAGAGCGTTGCCGCGGTTACCATGGCAACGTTACTGCTCTTGCGAGAGTCAACTCTAGCCCTGGAGCTATGGGCTAGAGTTCACTCTCAACACTGTAACCCCCATGGATTCCTGGTGGTCGCAGTGGTGAGAGTGAACTCTAGCCCCATAAACACACTGCCCCCCATACTAACATTGCCACACACATACACTGCCCACACACCCTACACATTCACACACTACACCCCCACACACACACACTGAACCTTTCACACACATTGCACCACTGCTCCTATTCCCTACTACAGCCTCATATCCCAGCAGACCCCAGGTAAGTTGTCAAACTGTTCTTAAACGGTTTGACTACATACTCTGGAGCAGTAGTGGTTATTGTGCATGGATTATTTCTTTAAATAATCTACAAGTGCCCCAGTAGCCAGACAGCCAACCCACAGGCTGGCCAGTAGCCAGCCAGTTAGCCAGCCCACAGGCCAGTAGCCAGCCCACAGGCCTACAGCAAGCCACAGGCTTACAGCCAGCAAGCCACAGGCTTACAGCCAGCAAGCCACAGCCTGCCAGCCGCAGCCTGCCAGCCACAGTCAGCAAGCCCACAGCCTGCCGGCAGTAGCCAGCAAGCCCACAGCCTGCCAGCCGCAGCCAGCAAGCCCACAGACTGCCAGCCAGCAACAGTAATTAAGGTAAGAGGAGCCAACTTGGCTTAGGTATCAGCAAGCTATGTTGTGTTGCTATATTGTGAATAGGAACCAGAGTGTTGGAGAGACCACCCTCCAGGCCCCATTAGACTCTAGCCTCTGCTAGAAATCCCCTCCATGGCCCATTAGCCCTCAATTGTAGTTTCTACTGGGGCCTGGAGGCGACTGTTTCCAGCAAGGGATATCTAATGGACGCTGAGATGGCCTCTGTTAGAAAGACCCCCTTCCAAGCCTTTTAGACTCCATTGTAGTCTCTAATGGGGCTTGGAGGGGATTCTATCTAACACACTCTCTAAAGGACACTGAGATAGCCTCCGCTAGAAAGACCCCCCTCCATGGCCCATTAGCCCTCAATTGTAGTCTCTACTGGGGCCTCGAAGGGCTTATTGCCCTTTTGTTCCTTGTGTCTAAAGATTGTGTAGGGTGTGGCTGGAGGCGGTGCATGGAGGCCTGGACAAGGGTGGCGCTTGCTGCAGAGTATGGGTGGGGCCTGTAAGGGGGCCCTTGATTTATTTTGCCCGGGGGCCCTGAGGGTTCTCAGTCCCCCCCTGGTCCTATCTCTATCCCTTATTATAGATTATATCAGTACATTACACATTTAGCTAAGGCACAGCCCTCTAATTGGTGTTTCTATATTGTACTTTCTTTCTCCCAATTTTACTGCAGTGAGCAATACGTTGCCACTTTATAAATGCCAGCAATAAATAAATTATATTATAGCATGGATCACTATACATAATGTTTTACAGAAAGAATATGCACACACTATATTAGAGAGTGTGCCATACTGTATCAGTATGATGAATACATCACTATGTCTAAACCCGTGACTATGACTAGGCCCTCTCTCTCTGCGCAACTGCTGTCTGTGAATAGCCCTTACACGTAAACAACTCCGCAGCTCGACGTGCTATTGGCTGAGGAGCCTGCTTCGGATCACGTGAGAGCTGAGCAGGGCCCGCGTGCCCGCCGATCGGGTCTTCTGCGCCTCCCTCCCACTCCTTTCCTCGTCCGTCAATGTGTGAGCGCGCGCAGAGCTGCGAAATGGCGGCCGGTGGGCGTGGACCGTGGCTCCCCGGTGACGTCACCGAGGCGTTTGCGCTTGCGCAGTGAGCGGTAGAAGGTACCAGAAGGCTGTGAGGCGCTGCGGTAACCGGTCCGAAGGGTCATACCGCTGCCGTGCGTTCGGTTAATACGGCTGACACCGTCCCGTGCTGTAAGTATGCGCTCTGCCAGCCGCCCCTCACTCGCTGTCACTGACATAAAATGGCCGCGGACTGGCTGTCAGAGAGAGGGTACTGGTATTGTTATTATTAATGTCTGTCAGGGAGAGGGTACTGGTATTATTATTAATGGCTGTCAGAGAGAGGGTACTGGTATTGTTATTATTAATGGCTGTCAGAGAGAGGGTACTGGTATTGTTATTATTAATGGCTGTCAGAGAGAGGGTACTGGTATTATTATTAATGGCTGTCAGGGAGAGGGTACTGGTATTATTATTAATGGCTGTCAGGGAGAGGGTACTGGTATTATTATTAATGGCTGTCAGGGAGAGGGTACTGGTATTATTATTAATGGCTGTCAGGGAGAGGGTACTGGTATTGTTATTATTAATGGCTGTCAGAGAGAGGGTACTGGTATTGTTATTATTAATTGCTGGCAGGGAGAGGGTACTGGTATTGTTATTATTAATGGCTGGCAGGGAGAGGGTACTGGTATTGTTATTATTAATGGCTGGCAGGGAGAGGGTACTGGTATTGTTATTATTAATGGCTGGCAGGGAGAGGGTACTGGTGTTATTATTAATGGCTGGCAGGGAGTGGGAACTGGTATTGTTATTATTAATGGCTGTCAGGGAGAGGGTACTGGTATTATTATTAATGGCTGGCAGGGAGAGGGTACTGGTATTGTTATTATTGATGGCTGTCAGGGAGTGGGAACTGGTATTGTTATTATTGATGGCTGTCAGGGAGTGGGAACTGGTATTGTTATTATTAATGGCTGTCAGAGAGAGGGTACTGGTATTGTTATTATTAATGGCTGTCAGGGAGAGGTTACTGGTATTGTTATTATTAATGGCTGTCAGAGAGAGGGTACTGGTGTTGTTGTTGTTGTTATTATTATTATTATTATTATTATTAATGGCTGTCAGAGAGAGGGTACTGGTATTGTTATTATTGATGGCTGTCAGAGAGAGGGTACTGGTATTGTTATTATTGATGGCTGTCAGAGAGAGGGTACTGGTCTTGTTATTGATGGCTGTCAGAGAGAGGGTACTGGTCTTGTTATTAATGGCTGTCCGGGAGAGGGTACTGGTCTTGTTGTTATTATTAATGGCTGTCAGAGAGAGGGTACTGGTATTATTATTAATGGCTGTCAGAGAGAGGGTACTGGTATTGTTATTATTAATGGCTGTCAGGGAGAGGGTACTGATATTATTATTAATGGCTGTCAGGGAGAGGGTACTGGTATTGTTGTTATTATTAATGGCTGTCAGAGAGAGGGTACTGGTATTATTATTAATGGCTGTCAGGGAGAGGGTACTGGTATTGTTATTATTGATGGCTGTCAGAGAGAGGGTACTGGTCTTGTTATTATTAAAGGACCACTCTAGTGCCAGGAAAACATACTCGTTTTCCTGGCACTATAGTGCCCTGAGTGTGCCCCCACCCTTAGGTTCCCCCTCCCGCCCGGCTCTGGAAAGGGGAAAGGGGTTTAAACTTACCTTTTTCCAGCGCTGGGCGGGGAGCTCTCTACCTCCGTTCCTCCTCCTGGGCTGAATGCGCACGCGCGGCGAGAGCTGCGCACGCATTCAGCCGGTCGCATAGGAAAGCATTTAAAATGCTTTCCTATGGACGCTTGCGTGCTCTCACTGTGAAAATCACAGTGAGAAGCACGCAAGCGCCTCTAGTGGCTGTGAATGAGACAGCCACTAGAGGATTAGGGGAAGGCTTAACCCATTCATAAACATAGCAGTTTCTCTGAAACTGCTATGTTTATAAAAAAAAATGGGTTAACCCTAGAAGGACCTGGCACCCAGACCACTTCATTAAGCTGAAGTGGTCTGGGTGCCTAGAGTGGTCCTTTAATGGCTGTCAGAGAGAGGGAACTGGTATTGTTGTTGTTATTATTAATGGCTGTCAGAGAGAGGGTACTGGTATTGTTATTACTGGTGGCTTTCAGGGAGAGGAAACTGGTATTATTACTGGTGGCTTTCAGGGAGAGGGAACTGATATTATTACTGGTGGCTGTCAGGGAGTGGGAACTGGTATTATTACTGGTGGCTGTCAGGGAGTGGGAACTGGTATTGTTATTACTGGTGGCTGTCAGGGAGTGGGAACTGGTATTGTTATTACTGGTGGCTGTCAGGGAGTGGGAACTAGTATTGTTATTACTGGTGGCTGTCAGGGAGTGGGAACTGGTATTGTTATTACTGGTGGCTGTCAGGGAGTGGGAACTGGTATTATTACTTGTGGCTGTCAGGGAGTGGGAACTGGTATTGTTATTACTTGTGGCTGTCAGGGAGTGGGAACTGGTATTATTACTTGTGGCTGTCAGGGAGTGGGAACTGGTATTACTGGTGGCTGTCAGGGCGTGGGAACTGGTATTATTATTGATGGCTGTCAGAGAGAGGGTACTGGTATTGTTATTATTAATGGCTGGCAGGGAGAGGGTACTGGTATTGTTATTATTGATGGCTGGCAGGGAGTGGGAACTGGTATTGTTATTATTAATGGCTGTCAGGGAGTGGGAACTGGTATTGTTATTATTAATGGCTGTCAGGGAAAGGGTACTGGTATTGTTATTATTAATGGCTGTCAGGGAGAGGGTACTGGTATTGTTATTATTAATGGCTGTCAGGGAGAGGGTACTGGTATTATTATTAATGGCTGGCAGGGAGAGGGTACTGGTATTGTTATTATTAATGGCTGTCAGGGAGAGGGTACTGGTATTGTTATTAATGGCTGTCAGGAGAGGTACTGGTATTATATTAATGGCCGTCAGCAGAGGGTACTTGCATTTTATTATTAATGGCTGTCAGAGAGAGGGTACTGGTATTGTTATTATTAATGGCTGTCAGAGAGGGTACTGGTATTATTATTAATGGCTGTCAGGGAAAGGGTATTGTTATTATTAATGGCTGTCAGGGAGTGGGTACTGGTATTATTAATGGTCAGAGAGAGGGTACTGTTGTTATTATTATTGTCAGGGAGAGGGTACTGTTATTATTGATGGCTGTCAGGGAGAGGGTACTGGTATTGTTATTATTAATGGCTGTCAGGGAGTGGGAACTGGTATTGTTATTATTAATGGCTGTCAGGGAGAGGGAACTGGTATTGTTATTATTAATGGCTGTCAGGGAGAGGGAACTGGTATTGTTATTATTAATGGCTGTCAGGGAGTGGGAACTGGTATTGTTATTATTAATGGCTGTCAGGGAGTGGGAACTGGTATTGTTATTATTAATGGCTGTCAGGGAGAGGGTACTGGTATTGTTGTTGTTAATGGCTGTCAGAGAGAGGGTACTGGTATTGTTATTATTGATGGCTGTCAGAGAAAGGGTACTGGTATTATTATTAATGGCTGTCAGGGAGAGGGTACTGGTATTGTTGTTATTATTAATGGCTGTCAGGGAGAGGTTACTGGTATTGTTATTATTAATGGCTGTCAGAGAGGGGGTACTGGTGTTGTTGTTGTTATTATTATTAATGGCTGTCAGAGAGAGGGTACTGGTATTGTTATTATTGATGGCTGTCAGAGAGAGGGTACTGGTATTGTTATTATTGATGGCTGTCAGAGAGAGGGTACTGGTATTGTTATTATTGATGGCTTTCAGAGAGAGGGTACTGGTCTTGTTATTAATGGCTGTCAGGGAGAGGGTACTGGTCTTGTTGTTATTATTAATGGCTGTCAGAGAGAGGGTACTGGTATTATTATTAATGGCTGTCAGAGAGAGGGTACTGGTATTGTTATTATTAATGGCTGTCAGGGAGAGGGTACTGATATTATTATTATTAATGGCTGTCAGGGAGAGGGTACTGGTCTTGTTATTATTAATGGCTGTCAGAGAGAGGGTACTGGTATTATTATTAATGGCTGTCAGGGAGAGGGTACTGATCTTGTTATTATTAAAGGACCACTCTAGTGCCAGGAAAACATACTCGTTTTCCTGGCACTATAGTGCCCTGAGGGTGCCCCCACCCTTAGGTTCCCCCTCCCGCCCCGCTCTGGAAAGGGGAAAGGGGTTTAAACTTACCTTTTTCCAGCGCTGGGCGGGGAGCTCTCTGCCTCCGATCCTCCTCCGTTCCTCCTCCTGGGCTGAATGCGCACGCGCGGCAAGAGCTGCGCGCGCATTCAGCCCGTCGCATAGGAAAGCATTTACAATGCTTTCCTATGGACGCTTGCGTGCTCTCACCGTGAAAATCACAGTGAGAAGCACGCAAGCGCCTCTAGTGGCTGTCAATGAGACAGCCACTAGAGGATTTGGAGGAAGGCTTAACCCATTGATAAACATAGCAGTTTCTCTGAAACTGCTATGTTTATAAAAAAAATGGGTTAACCCTAGAAGGACCTGGCACCCAGACCACTTCATTAAGCTGAAGTGGTCTGGGTGCCTAGAGTGGTCCTTTAATGGCTGTCAGAGAGAGGGAACTGGTATTGTTATTATTGATGGCTGTCAGAGAGAGGGTACTGGTATTGTTATTACTGGTGGCTGTCAGGGAGAGGTAACTGGTATTATTACTGGTGGCTTTCAGGGAGAGGAAACTGGTATTATTACTGGTGGCTTTCAGGGAGAGGGAACTAGTATTATTACTGGTGGCTGTCAGGGAGTTGGAACTGGTATTATTACTGGTGGCTGTCAGGGAGTGGGAACTGGTATTGTTATTACTGGTGGCTGTCAGGGAGTGGGAACTGGTATTGTTATTACTGGTGGCTGTCAGGGAGTGGGAACTGGTATTATTACTTGTGGCTGTCAGGGAGTGGGAACTGGTATTGTTATTACTTGTGGCTGTCAGGGAGTGGGAACTGGTATTATTACTTGTGGCTGTCAGGGAGTGGGAACTGGTATTACTGGTGGCTGTCAGGGCGTGGGAACTGGTATTATTATTGATGGCTGTCAGAGAGAGGGTACTGGTATTATTATTGATGGCTGTCAGAGAGAGGGTACTGGTATTATTATTGATGGCTGTCAGAGAGAGGGTACTGGTATTATTATTGATGGCTGTCAGAGAGAGGGTACTGGTATTGTTATTATTAATGGCTGTCAGGGAGAGGGAACTGGTATTGTTATTATTAATGGTTTTCAGAGAGAGGGTACTGGTATTGTTATTATTAATGGCTGGCAGGGAGAGGGTACTGGTATTGTTATTATTAATGGCTGGCAGGGAGAGGGTACTGGTATTGTTATTATTAATGGCGGTCAGGGAGAGGGTACTGGTATTGTTATTATTAATGGCTGTCAGAGAGAGGGTACTGGTATTATTATTGATGGCTGTCAGGGTGAGGGAACTGGTATGGCTGTCAGGGTGAGGGAACTGGTATTGTTGTTATTGATGGCTGTCAGGGAGAGGGTACTGGTATTGTTATTACTGATGGCTGTGAGTAGCTTAGTCTCAGCTTTTCGGGCTGTGATGGTTGATCTAGGACTACACCTCTCCTGATGCCCAGCCAGCCTTCAATAACAGCCTACTGTTCTTTATTTCCCTGGAAAACAAAACAATACAATTCTAATTAAGGCTGGCCAGGCTCCACAGGAGTTGTCATTTGTTAAGTCCCTACCTCTCCCATAACTATTGAGCTTGAGGTAGGGGTTGTAATACACTCTTCCCTTCCAGCACCTGGGATTTCAGCATTAAAGGACCACTATAGGCACCCTGACCACTTCAGCTTAATGAAGTGGTCTGGGTGCCAGGTCCAGCTAGGTTTAACCCTTTTTGCTGTAAACAACTGCTATGCTTACTTATGGGTTAATCCAGCCTCTAGTGGCTGTCTCATTGACAGCCGCTAGAGGCGCTTCTCACTGTGATTTTCACAGTGAGAAGACGCCAGCGTCCATAGGAAAGCATTGAGAATGCTTTCCTGTCGACTGGCTGAATGCGCGCACGGCTCTTGCCGCGCATGCACATTCAGCCAGGGATCTCAGAAGAGGGAGGAGAGTCCCCAGCGCCGAGGGAGCCCTGCGCTGGAAAAAGGTTAAGGGGGCACCCTGAGGGCAGTATAGTGCCAGGAAAACAAGTTTCCGCATTCTTTACATAAGGGCGTCAAATAAATTCAGTAATCGCATCAAACCCCCAAGTAGCTGTCTGACAACCATTCGTAGATGTGGAAATTGCAAAATATAAATAGTGGCATGTCTCAGAAAAGCACAGTTCACATCATCAAGGCAGCATCTATACACAGAAATCATTTCAGTAATCTGAAGAAATGTTAATACTTAGATTATCCCTTTTAGATGCGGAGGTGATTACATTGGCATTCCTGATTCTCTTGACCATTGGCACTGTAGATATATTACTCTTACTACACTAATGACGGCTAGGAGCTTAACAGCGCTAGCTCCACCTTTTTGTTAGCTGTATGAAAAGTACATTAGATAAAGTAGTATTTATCTTTTGAATGAGTTGGAATTTTAGTGAAATTCCAGCACGATGTTTATAAACATTACATAAAGACTTTATTTTTTTGAAGTGATCATTTTGGGGACAATCACTTTTGCCTTCATTAGTTGACAACTTCTTTTATATTCCTGAATGGGCTAAGCATCCAGTCTGCTCACTTCTCAAAGAAGTTCAGCAATACAATTACTGGCTTTGTTTATGATTGTCAGCAGATAACATTTGCTTTCAATGCTGATATTGTTGAATCTTGCACTTTGTCTTTTTGGGTTATTGCTAGCTGCTGCCGTTCTGTGTCCCCTTGTTATACACCATGTATTTTGAACCATGCTTCCAAGTGCCAGAAAAGTAATTGTTATTTTAGCAAGAATCACACCTCTAGCTTTGTGTGCAACCTTGCAAAGTTCACAACTGTAGTCTTTAGTTGTTTCATAATGAAATAAACTTGAGCCCAAATGGTTTAGAAATAACCCACTATTAGAGCAAGATATACACACTTCTAGAAGCTACAGAGGCAATGTAAACATTGTATTTTCTCTGAAAAGACTGCTTACTGCAAAAACTTTGAAGGGAATGATTCTACTCATCAGAACAAATACAATAAGCTGTAGTTGTTCTGGTGATTATAGTGTCCATTTTAAAGGTAAACTATACGGTCAGGAACACAAACATGTACTCCTGACCCTATAGTGTAAAAACCACCATCCAAGCCCTCTGCCCACCCACATTACCCCCCCTAGATATTGCAGCATCTTACTTTTACTCCAGCCTGCAGCTGCTGGCCCTGCCCCTGTTCTGCCTGCTTGGCTGACATAATCAGAAGTGATTCTCTGAGCCAATCACAATGTCTTCACATAGGAAATCAGTGGATTGGCTGAGACTGTCAAGGAGGCAGATCAGAGGCAGAGTTAGCACAAGCCAAACAGCCCTGGGCAATCGGCATCACTTCATAGAGTTGCATTGAATCAATGAAGCTCTATGAGGAAAGTTCAGTGTCTGCATGCAGAGGATGGAGACACTGAATGGCAGTCGCACTGCCAACGGGAAACACCTCTAGCAGCCATCTGAGGAGTGGCCAGTGAAGTTATCACTAGGCTGTAATGTAAACACTGCATTTTCTCTGAAAAGACAGTGCTTACTGCAAATAGTTTGAAAGGGAATGATTCTACTCACCAGAACAAATACAATAAGCTGTAGTTGTTCTGGTGACTATAGTGTCCCTTTAAAACTAGCTTTTTTTTATTTTAATTTTTTTGCAGTCAAACTCTTATTGCTTAATATGCCTAGTGTTTGGCCCTGGTAGCTGTAATTCCTCATCTCTAATGTCATGGTTCCAGAATAGCCTGCAGCAAACTTTGGTGGAGTTAAAGCAAGCTGCTCTGTTATCAACCCAGGCCGTTCAGTCAAACCATAAGAAAAGAGCAGAACCAGGTTCTCCCCTTCTATAAGGAAGAAATCTGGCTGGAAAAATGAGTTCTGATTCATCGTCTAATCAGTACTCTTCCGAAGATTCCAATGATTCCTCTGACGAGGAATATTGCTTTCAAGAACAGTACCTACCTAAACTCATCAAGGAGGTCTATAGCCTCATGGATGTGGAGAAATCTCCTTCAGGTATTCACCCTTCTCTTCATCAGTTGCTACTTAGAGAATGGAGATTTCCGGCCAATAAAGCTTTTGTATCCAAACATTTCAAAACCATTTTTTCACTTAAAGACCAACTAGAGACCATTCCTAAAGTGGAATTGCACAGCTATGGAAGAAAAACACACTTCCTGTTGGGGATTTTAGTTGGCTCCAGGATGCGATGGACAAACGAGCGGAATCTTGCCTAAAGAAACTTTTTTTTCCTCTGCAGCGGCCCAGAGTAAGGCTCTAATTTCAGGTTCTTCAGTAGCCAAAGCTCAAGGATGTTGGCTGGATACGTTGGAGAAACTTTATATGGGTTAATCCAGAGAGGATCAAGTTTTGAGGAATGTTTAGATGGCTGCGGAGTTTTTGGCTGACAAAAACTGTGAAATTTTCAGCAAAAATGATGGGGCATTCTGTCACCAGATGTGCAGTATGGCTCATAAGTTGGTCAGCTGACTCTGCTAAATAAAAATTAATTGTGTGATCTCCCATTTGAACAAGGTCGACTGTTTGGTTCGCAACTAGACGACCTGTTAAAACGTATGGCGGAAGGTTGGAAAGCGTTGCCTGAAGGAAAGATTGGAACAAACCCTTCTTCCACAAAAACAGATGCTCTTACAGAGATTCATGTCGTAGGTTCTCCTATAAGAAGAATCAAGAAGGCCATTTTCCTTTCAGGATAAGGGAAAGAGGAACTTTCCAGGTGAAAAAGGAAATAAGATTATGACACCATTCCTGTAGGGGGCAGACTTCTTTTATTCAGGTCAGAAGACTACTACAGACAGTTGGGTCCGGTCAGTAGTTCAAAGAGGTTACAGTATAGAACTTCTCAAATTTTTTCCAAGTAAATTCCTCTGTTCAACTATACATTCCCCAGACATGGCGGCAGTTCTTCTCTAACAGGTGGGGGTCTTATGGCAGAAAAATGTTATAGAAATTCTTCCAAAAGGAGAAGAATTCAAAGGTTCTTATTCAAGAATATTTTTGGTAAAAAAAAAAAAAAGCCAGATGGTTCTTTCTGTCCAATTCTGGATTTAACATTTAGTGATTTAGTGAACAAGTTAGTGCTTAATAGAAAATTTCGCATTGGAAAACATCTCCGCATCTCACATAATTCAACCAGGTTCATGTTCCATCATTTGCAAGATGCTGATCTGCACATACCAATAGCAGCAAACAGCAGAAGTTTTTTTTAAGATTTTTCCATACAAGATCAGCTTCTGCATTTCCAATTCAGGGCCTTAACCTGAATCTCATTCTATCCTTTTTCTGGGTCTCATTTTAGACTCTATTCAAATTGTCCTTCCAGAGGAGAAGATACACAAGATAAAGGACACCATTATCCGCTTGCAAAAGAAAATGTGTTGCACTATAAGAGAAGCTATGAGACTTCTGGCTCTGTTCACTGCCACAATTCCAGCCGTCAACTGGCCCAAGGCCCATATGAGACCATTGCAAAAGGATATCCTCTTGTCTTGGGACAAGAAAACTACATCCCTAGACCAGTCCATAATTTTTAGCTCTTAGGCTTGACTAAGCTTCCGTTGGTGGATGACTTCACATTTCCTCGTATTCTACAAAAAATCGTCCAGGACAAGTCTAAGATGATAGCAATACTTCCCTTCTGGCCTCAAATTGGTTCTCCATTCTACTGCACCTATTCAACAAGAGGTTTTTGAAACTTCCTATGTCTGAGAAAATTTGGGATCAAAAATTGGTTCCGCTTCACACCCTTCAAACATTCCCATTAACGGCTTGGGATCTGAACGCCAGATGCTGAGATCAAGGGGACTCGGTTCTGAAGTAGTGGATTTCCTATTAGCAGCTAAAGAAGACTCCACTGCTTTAGTTTACGCTACAATTTGGAAAAAGTTCTACTCTTGGTGCTATAATGTGCGGGTCAATCCTCTATCGGCTTCAGTTCCTTAGATTTTGACATTTCTGCAATTAGGGTTTGCTAAAGGCCTTCATTCTGCTACTCTGAAGGTCCACATCTCTATTTTTATTTGTTTTTTCAGTATTTGAGAATTGGCTTCGGATGCTCTTATTCGAGACTTTTTAGAGCACTTTCTAGACTGCTTCTGACCATCAGGGAATTGGTTCCCCCTTGGGATTTAAATATTGTCCTCTCGGCTCTTTGTGTAGCACCGTTTGAACCCTTGGAGTCTGTCAGTCTGAAGATTCTTACATTGAAGACCGTATTTTTGGTTGCCAAACGTCTGGATGAACTTCTTTTCCTCCTTTCCTAGTATTTCACCTTGATATGGTGGTCTTGAAACTTCATCCTTCTTTTCTTCCTAAGTGGTCAACTCACCTGATATAAATTAGGAAATTGTTCTCCCGACATTTTGCCATAATCCTCAGAATGCTGCGGAACATAAATTCCATTGCCTGGATGTTAAACGCTGCCTACAGTTTTACATGGAAAGGTCTACTTCATTTCAGAGATAAGACAGACTGCTCGTCCTTTTCCAGGGTAAAAATAAAGGTCTTATGGAATCTAATGGCTCATTGGCAAGATGGATTAAAGAAGCTATTGTATTAACATACTGTTCTTCTCAGATGTCTCCTCCTCTGAATTTAAGGGCTCATTCTACCAGAGCTGTTGCTATCTCGTGGGCCTTAAGAGCTTCGGCTTCTCCTTCACTCACAGATTTGCAGTGCAGCAACTTGGTCGTCTCTACATACCTTCTCCAAATATTATAGGTTAGACGTACTGGCCTCTGAGGATTCTAATTTTGGGTGTAAGGTGTTACAAGCCGTGGTGAAGTGATGTTTCCCGCCCTAAGGGGATTGCTTATTTATCCCTGTTGTAGTGCACTGCCTCTAATCTGGAGGGAAAAGTTCAAATTTTACTTACCGTTAATTTCCTTTTCCTTAAGATTAGAGGCAGTGCACATATTTCCAACCCTACTTATTAAAGTTATTTTTGCACTTATTTGTCTTTTGTATTTACTGGGGTTTTGGGGATTCTGGGTGGTTTTATACCTATAGGAGGAGGAGCCTGGGAGGAGTCTTCAGGACTAAAAATTGGTTGCCTGCCTTTCTGATCCAGATTAGAGGAAATTCCTGTTGTAGTGCACTGCCTCTAATCTTAAGGAAAGACATTTACACTAAGTAAAATTTTAACTTTTTTCTTTGGTAAGTGTGCTATGCACTTTACAGGCTTGTTGTGGTGGCTTGTAACTTTTAAGGCCCTTTTTAGTAGCATAGGACTCGAAACTTTAATCTGAGTTATTTCCCAAAGTGAGAATTCATAGTGGTTTTTAAATTTAATGTGGAAATGGCCAAACTGGAAATATTTAAAATTTGCTATGCTTAGAGTTCAGCTACTCTGTCCTTAAATTCAAAGTTCACTTTAAATTTTCATCAATAGCTCTATGGCTTTTCATTGGACTTGTTCAAGAAGATAGATCATGTGAGGTCTTCCATAGACCCTACTTCTTTCTGTATGTGTCAATTTATAAATATGACAGGGCACCTAGTGGCTACTTGTGAAAGATGAGCATGATGGCGGTGTTCTAGAGGAATAGGTTCACTTTCCTACCTGGTGAAACCACATAAGTATAAGTGCCACTGGAGCTGTTTGGGTGTCTGTACAGAAATGAATACCACTTGTATTGGGATACCCTATGTTTCAATGAGTGTTTGGCTGCTGTTCTTGTGTTTTCTATCCATTAATTTTTGCAGTATGACAGAAAGCATGGCTCCCTGACATCCAAAGCCTGCTTCCTCTGCAAGTACTTGCATAATGTGGAAGTCACTCGTCTTCATTATCCATTCAGAAACCTCATGCCATTTATGGCTGCAGTAGCTACGTTGCACCACAATGTTGTTAAAGAGACTCTGAAGCCTGGCAATGAAACATACTTTTTAACACTCCAAGCGCTATGACCACTACAGCCTCCAATAATGTTTATGGGGCTGTAAGTGCCATGGCATTGTTCCACTGTTAGAAGTCAAACCATTTTAGTACGGTTTGCCAACTTACCTTGGTCCTCCCAGGCAACTGTGCTGCTACTTCTGATGTATTTCTTCTCCAGCAGAAAGTGGATGGCTCTACAGAGCAGAGCAAGCAATGCTGATACTCTCAGCCAGTGATTATGGTCCTACTTTGCTCTAGGGCAAAGGCAGTGACATAAGGCTTCTCCAGCTTGAGCAGATCCAATACGGATTGGGACCCAGATAGTTACGCATGGTACTTGTAGAAGAGTTACTTGGTAGCAGTTTCATTCACACAAAAATGAAACTGCTTTGGAAAATGTGTATCTGTACCTCCCCAAAGCATATAATCTCCCTCCTGTTCATTACAGAAGTGCTGGCAGAAGAATTTCAAACAGTGGCATATTTTTGTTTTTTTAAGCTAACGTATTTATGAAATACTCACATTGTCTGTGTTGTAATTTCCCTGCATCTACTTTATCTTAGGTGTTTTCTCTGTCCCTGACAAGAGGCGTAACTACTGCTGTCATATTTGTCATTTCCTTTCTTCCCCTGTACTCACAGGCTACCTCATTGCAACGGTAGCAGTCACAATCGCGGTGTCTTGCAAAATATGCAAAGACTCCAGGCGGTGACAGATCTGTTTTAAATTATTATTTTTTTTTTTTTCTCCTTCCATGTTTCTGCAAGTCTGTTAAAAAAATTTTTTCTAGTAGTGTTTGTATCTCTGAATTTATTTCTACAAAACAATTACTTGCTACACTGTAGTCCCCATTGAGTTGCCAAACTGATGTTCCTGAACTGACAGACTATGTAGACAATCCTATTTGAGACTTTCTGTGGTATAGGCGTAGCATTGTTCTGTGACATTGACTGTGTTAGGTATTTCTTACAAGTAGACCTGTGGGTAAAACAGTGTGTGCTTTATCTGTACGCAGAAGACACACCAGGGTATTGGATTATTATTAACAGCTGTATAGAAATCATTGATCAGCGAAGTGCTAAATAAACACCTGTTGTATATTTATAGATTGACAGAAATGAGCTATATTTACACTGTCCTTATTAAGGCGCTTTTGTCAGGATGGTGAATATATATGATTCGCCTGTGGGGTAATGGAGTCAGGAGTGATTAATGAGTGGTTTATAGATGGGATTATGCTTGGTGTATTGATCATTAGACATTCCATTCACAGTGCATTGCTAGTAAATCTCTTCAGCTTTCTGTTTACAAAAAGCAGGCCCCATGCAGCAGTTGGCACAGAAACTATCTCATTAAATCTCCATGAGCAATCCAAAGGTGCATCGGAGGACTGCTAGCATTTCTTGCTCCATGAGCAGTCTCCTGGGCATGATCTGTACATCAAAGGCTTTGGGATTATACTAGTCCCTGCTAGGGTTTTCCACTAACATGTACTAACTGTTCATGTTTCTTTGTGACTATATTAGCATGCATTATCTTGTTAACTCTAATTGCTGGTTTCTTGCTCTTCTGATTTAATAGATAGGCTTACGTTTAGAGGTATATTTTGGCATTTTGTTGACTTTACATATTTCTGGGTGTTATTACTTTGCTTTACAAGTCTTTAAAGAAGACCTACATATATATATATATATATATATATATATATATATATATATATATATATATATATATATATATATATATATATATATATATATATATATATATATAAATTTTTTTTTTTTTTTGTGACTGTTTTATAACGTATTCATGTCTTCCAGCTTGGTTGCTGTTTGGTTTGTTTTTTTAATAAGTGCACATATTTATTTTATTCAATATGTTATCCCTCTGATTCCCTACTTTGCTTCCCTGTTTGCTGTTAATTTCCCTCTTTACTAAAAGGCAAGTTGTCTTGGGAATGTGAGGCCACTTTCACTTCATAAGTTATTGGGTGCTGAAAGCTCCATTTCTTGCGATTAAGTAGTGGTGGCAAGTTCTTTCCGTCAAAATAATGGACCTGCCATTTTGAAAATAAAATTCCACTATTTTTACTTGTTGTTCCTTTTGTGAAATTACCCATGATGAATATCCTAAGATTCCATTATATTATGTACCTGCAACAACAAAAAAAATACTAGCAAGTTACCAGCCAAATCCTACTCTGAATTTTGGCCCACCCTGTAATTATAGCTTAAACAGAAAATGAGTGATGTGTTGGTTGTAATTTTAAAAATATATATATTTTTAGCTTTCAGAAACACATTTTCCTACGTTCCTGTTAGTGATTTCACTTGAATTTAACTGCCATCCTCCCCATCTTGCACTTGTTCACTAAAAGACAGTCATCAACTTCTGAAATCTGAATCAGAATGGCTGGAATCAAGAGGCCCGTGATCTCTCAGCCTTGGGAGGAGGAGGAGTGCCTTGAATACTATGGAATGCATTCATTGCATCGCATATTCGATGTCATTGGTTCTCATCTGACGGAGAACGATGTTGAGGTGCTGTCTTTTCTCCTGCATGAGTCATACCCTTTTACCCACCCACTGGATCCTCACATTTGGACCGTTGAAGAGGATGGTGGTAGTGAGCCAAGCAGTGCATTACTGGCTTTCTGGCAGAGGTGGAACCGCAGGGGCAATGCTCAAAATAATATCAATAATTTGGAGTGCCCCGAACTTAAATCCAAGAGTGGGCTTGAGATACTTCTGGAGCTAGAGAGGAGAGGTGTATGTGATGAAAGCAACTTCACCAATCTTCTGCAATTGCTAAGAGTGCTAACGCGTCATGACCTGCTCCCCTATGTCACCATGAAAAGACCCCGTACAGGTAAGTCCTGCACCTTTTTATTTATTTTAAATTTGGTTTGCCAGTAACATTATCTGAAATAGTTAGCTGTGTGCTTTGGTATTTTGTTTTTGTATCCAAGTAAAGCAGTACATAGCCCTGACTCTTAAAGGGATAACCTTATTATAAACTACACATACTGCCAGTCATTTTAGCACGTTGAGCAATGCATTGCATTTAAAAAAATAATCTTCACACACATATAGTAAAATAATCCATCATATTATGTTTTAATTCCTGCTTTGTACAGGCAGATCTTTAAAATGTTTTTTTTGGGGCAGACCTCACCTCAAATAAATGTGGTTCTACTGATTTTTTTTTTATTTTTTGCGCACCACCCCCACTTTTTAAAAATGTAAAAATATAATATATAAAAATAAAAAAACCAGGAAAGGTAAATTCAGATTGCTCTGGTTTCCAAGTACGTCCAGGGGTTGTTACTATCACCCAATTTAATGGTACTCATTTTATCTACCTCGGAAGGATGAAGGGTTGAGTCAACCCTGCCGGGATTTGAACCTGCGACCCCCAAGGGTTAGAACAGATTCTGCTGTTGCATTAGCCCACTGAGCTTGTGTGTGTGTATTTTTTTTATTTTTTTTAAGCTTTCCAAGTGTTTTAAGTTATATACGTATGTATTTGAAGTTCATTTTTTATTCCACTTCTATGCAGTGTCTCCAGAGAGGTACACATATGGCCCTTCTGTGCCAGACTCTGATACGCAGATGGATGGATGCTTAAATCCGACGTCCTCTAACACCAGAGACGAAAACTGGGAAACAGGTACTGATAGACCTGTGTATTCATAATGTTCCTGGTCCTTTTTTAATTTCTCAATATTTGTAAAGACCACATTGTGTTAAAAATGTCTGTTAAACCTCTCATGTGGATTAGAAAAACAAACAATCCAAAAGACCGTATTCTGGCGATTCTTGAAATGTATAGGGTACACTTTTGCGTTTGTGTAAGAGCGATCTGTGCCATTCATTTTAATCTGGATTTAAGACAGTTATTTTATATAAATTCCCCTATTTCACAGATTATCATTTAGAAGGAAGCAACCTATATGCTGTGGTTTTAAATTGTTCAGTGAGAATTTAATATAGTAAGCAAACAAGAAACCCTTTTTAAACCAGGCTACATTATGGATTTCTATTTGGAGTTTTTAACCTATACCTAAAAACATGATTATTTTTTTTCTTGATCTGTCCTATTTGCAATGGTCAAGCACTGTAGTGTAAAATTGCACTTTCTATGAAGACCACATTGTACAAAAGTAAATTGGCAATGTGCATAGCATAGGACTATGAAGAACAATGTAGGCTTTCTTGAAAATAGGCATATTATGAAAATAAAGCAATATATAAGCTTGAAATTACGGAACCAGAGAGGCAACCACACCTGATAAATTAATTGGTATGTCACAATTCAGTAAAAATATTAACATTCAATTTTTATGGTGGTTGTGTTCTCCGTACAGGTTCTAATACCAACAAACGGAAGCGAGTAGGCAATGGAAGAAGTCGCCGCTGCCGCCAAACACTGAAAAAAGCAGTGGGTTGCAGCAATGACAACGCAAACCTACCTTCTCCTGCCCAGACCAGCGAAAGTAAAGTCACATGTGGTAAGTACCTAGCATCTCCTGTTCATGTTTTTCTTCATTTCTCCCCTTTTTTTTTTTTTTTTTTTGAGGGACAGTTGGCACGTGAAAATGGACCAAAATGCTTACCATGGCTTGACCTGGGTTTCTGACTAAATCTAAGGGGTGTGTTCGTGGTGGTGCCTGACCTACGAGGATTTATTAAGCACATCTATTGGCACAAACCGGACTGACACCAGTATGGGAATTGATGTTTAAACGAAAAGTCCCACCTTTATTGTAATGATAAATATCTGTTGTGGAATGCCCTTTTAATTGTTAATAAATATGTGCAGCAAGGAAAGGATTCATTAGAAAGGCTGATGGCTTCATAAAATAATTTTGAGATTTAATTTAATTTTTTGCAGAAACTGCCGGCAGACAATGTTTCAAAGCATTAGGCCGTTAGTTTTATGTTACAACACAGATGGTTAGCATAGTAGATTAAGTGGCACTATCATTAAGCTGCATTGTTTTTCTTATTAAACAAGCACACTATAGGATGTGGCGTGTGTAAAACTTGGAACATGATTCCAATATTCTCAGATGTATTTTTGATGTGTTCTTTAAAAAAGCACGAAGTGCACAAAAACTACTACAGTGCACTGTAATGGCCATCTTGCCAGGAGTGCAAAACGTATTGACTTCATACCTGGAATCCTTTGGGTGCTGGTTTCCGCCCCAACTATCCTTCAGCAGAGCGCTGGAAGTTCCTTGGTAGGATCTTCCATTGGATCTCTTGAACAGTTCGTTGGCTCAACGCAATCAACTGATGTTACCTAGAAACTTTCAGTTCTCAGCCAATGGTACTGGAGGTGGGAGCAGCACCCAGCATACCCTAGGTAAACAGCCACTTGATCTTACAAGGTGAGGGGCACTCCTGGCACCACAACTGCCATTGCAAGCTGTGAGTGTTCCTTTAAAATGCAGTCGCTCCCTTGCACTGTACAAATAATTATACATTCATCACTAGAATAACTGGTGTACAGAAGGTGTTCAGCAACATTTTATTTACCTAACAGTCCTCAATGGCTATCAGTTGTGTAGATGAATATTTGTCTGATACTAGACCCCTAGCCGACTATAACGTCATGATTTCATAACTAAAATGTTGCTGCAGCCAAAAACCTAGCAGGTTGACAGGTCAGGTTCATTGGTATTTTAGTCTGAGTCCTGTATCTGCCTACATCTGTTCCTGGATTTTTCAATGGCCGCATTGATCATTGTTGGGTAATCCCAAATCTTGTATAATTGGTGGCCCGTGAGAACTGTTGCTCTATCACAAATTATTTTAGGTGGAACTTATCGTTTAACTGTCAATTCTTTATCCTGTATGTACTGTTGGCATTCTGCTTGACTATGAACTTGCTTGGAATTTTCTTTGTAACCACTGACCATCCCTTCTCCAGTCAAGTGCCTTGGGGGCTTGGATTCTTAACCTCCTTCTGTCACAATATGTTACTGTTTCTTATCTTCTGTGACAGTGAGTTAACCTACACCACTAAGTTTTCTTCTATTAAAGCACCCACTGCATGGGTTAGTAGTTAGTGTGCACCGTAATGGACACCACTGTGTGATGAAATGCCAAACCCAAAACAGTATTCATCCATAAGAGTTCCTCAAGGTTATGCCCACTTAATGGTAATCGCTCAACGCGCAAAGGTTCGCATGACTTATATGGAGTAGCGTCGTTTCTGAAATATATACATATTGGGTTGGCACACCTGCTTCATTTTGCTGGCATTTCTACAAAACTAGCGAACTACAGATCTATTAAAACAAAGTTCTTTGACCTGTTCTGCCACTAATGAACTAACCGTGTACTATTAAAACGTTTTCCGACTTCAGTACAGCTGTTTGGCAAACACCTTACTGTGCAACCTATGGCCAAACTCTCCTCTAGATTTAAAACTGAACAAGGAATAGAGCAGCGCTAAACAAACTAAGAACACTAGGATGGGAGGCAGCACACCTGATAATAATGCAATTCCTCCAACCCCTCAAGAAAACTAGAACAAGTCAAAGAACAATATACAGGTAGCGCCAAGAAAAATACTCCAAACACAATAGTATATAATAATAACAATAAAATCCATTTAAAAAAACACGGGATATAAAGAGTCCACAATAAAACTTAAAAAAATACCAAATGGTACGGCACAGTCGCAAAGGTGGCAATAGATCTTCTAGTCCTGGTATGGGACTTTCTTGGTAGCTTCGCTTAATATCAGAATATGAAAAGGAAGCAAAAACAGAGGCAAACCAATAGTGCAATATGGTAGTATGTGGTAGGACAAATGACACTTGATAAGATGTCAACTCACATATGGTAGAGCTATAACCAGCTCTGGGTAAAACAGCATTCAGTGGTATACAATCCCTGCTTGCAGGATATCCCTCTGGTTTTGGTACACAGTAGAATGATGGTAGATCATATGGAATGACAAAAATAAGCAGCCAGTAGTGCTCTCTGTATGGATAGGTAAGTATTAATAAGGTAAATAAAAATATACTTACAATAGAGTGAGCAGACTAACCGCTCTATTTATCAAGCCTGGGTGGTATAATTCCCACCAAGGATTTCTTTGGTTGGTTGTCCACAGTAGGTGATGGGTCCAGATGTCAGGTAAAAGTATAAAAATAAATAAGTTCTAAAAATATATGGCTAAAAGGCAGGTAGTGAGGTAGCCAAAATACTTTATTTTAACAACAGCACAAAATCCTCGTGTTTCTCACCATAGGGCTTTCTCAAGTGGTAAAAACAGATACCTGACATAATAACTAGGTTTATATAGACTTTAAAATACTTAATTTTGGCGCCAACATGACATCCTTAATCACTTTATTAGGTCCAAGCAATATATTGTGTGTGGCAGTGTAGCTTTTGTAATTAGAACAATATGACATATTAGGGGAGTGTGGTAGTATTAAAAAGTATAAAATGAACATTTTTAGACGAGATAACAATTGATAGAAAATTAATAAAAAGAAACACAGCCTTTAGGTATATCTGCTAAATGGTCACAATTAAAAACCTATTCTACAGAAAGTTAAAAAGATCAAAATCAGCATGTAAACCTTCTGGTACCATAGTTCTCAAGTTAAAAACCCACTGCATCTCATGATTTCCCAGAATTTGTTTTTCATATCACCTCCATGGCATAGTACATTTTTGTATGCCAGTAAATTTTAAACATCCTGGAAATGTTTTGATACAGTGTAATTTAAGTATCCTTTTGTTATGTTTCGGCAATGGGGTGCTTTTAAGTTTTATTGTAGACTCTTTTTATATCCTGCAGGTTTTTTTTATTGATTTTGTTCTTATTTATATACTATTGTGTTTTGGAGTATTTTTCTTGGTGCTACCTGTATCTTGTTCTTTGACTTCTCTAGTTCTGCAAGATTAAAGTATGAAACTGGCACGTCACTTTTTAGATTGTTTTTGTTTTAATGATAAGAAACCTGTTAGATGACTAGCAGTGAACACAATTTTACATGTCTCCAAGCATGGTGGTTTACTGAACTCTGTTCATCCATTTGGCTGGTCCATCTTCTATAAAGCGACAAACTCCCTAACACTAATTCTGCTTGCGATGTATGTGCTTGCTTATTGTGTACTCTCTAGGATCACCGTTTTTTGCGCATTTTATACCTCAGACTAAGAGCGCTTTAATACACATTCTGCGAACTGCCAGCTGCAATAACTCTTGTGTATTACAACTGGTAATATTTAATTTAAAAACTGCATGACTACAAGATTTAAATAAAAAGCCAAATTCTATGGTACCTCAACCAAAACCACTGTTCTTTAGGCATTTCATCTTTCCAAAATATCGCCACTCTGTTGCCTCCAATATCATATATGAATACTAATGTTTTCTGGTCTGAATCCATCCTTCCATCTTTTTGTGCAAAGATGCTATCCCACAGTCTGCCAGTCCAATGTTTGTCTAATATGTCTATGCTCCAATATTTCTCACATTTCAACGATTTGCAGGAAAAGTCCTAAAGAAGAAATGTACTGGTTAAAATAATAAGTTCATAATTAAAATCGTCAAACCTCTGATAGCTGCAAGGACGAAACAGTAAGACTTTTCATATCTTAAGTGTTGTGTTTTTTGTTTTTGTTTTAAATCTGTTTCTCCATTAGTTGGAGAAATATGCATCCCTTTACCAGGTTTATCCATCATGTTACAGGCTGTTCCCCCAACCAATCAGAGTGTGTAGCATTACCAGGTTTATCCATCGTCCTAGAATTGTTGCTCTGCTGGTTTGGAGGAACTTGCTATATTTATCCATCTTGATACATGTTTATCTCCCTTACTGCCAAAGCAACCTGGATCACAGTGCTGAATATTGTGTTGCAGGCTTGTTCCTCTATGAGACAGAGGTACCTTCACCACAATTCCTGATGTATCCACTACTTTACATGCTGGTTCCTTCAGCTGTCATATGAACCCGCATTACTGTGTTTGGATATGATACAGGCTTGGGAGAGCCAGCACCTCCTGTACAGTAGGCCAGGCCTCAGTCTTTTTTAATGCTGTGCCTAGCTCTCACTGCTACTGAGAAATGATGCATAATTTGACTATTGTAGCATCTAAAAACGTTTCGTATTCATGATTTTTCTTATATTTAGACTCTTCAAGCAAAATAAACAGTAATTTTTTTATTTTTTTTAGTCTGTGGTGTTACATGTTCCTTTTTCTCACAGACTTAAAATTCCCATGAGCCTTCCTGAAATGTCATGGTGTTATCTTGCTGTTCTCCTCAGTCGATTTTCTCTAAAATTTAAATTCCAGGTGTTCTGAGCAAAGGTTGATGGTTAAAGAGAGAAAATCTCTCAAATAAGGAAATGGTCATGCGTTCTGCCCTCCTCAAACATCCATATCCAAAAGGTAAATGTATGCCTTCTGCAAGTGAGACACCTTTCATAGACTGAATTCTCCTGAGCAAGTGACAAAATGACAGTGCCAAAATCAGTCCTCGTACATGCATGCTGTTATCTTGACCTGGGACAGCACTGTTTTCACCCATTATACAAGCTCATAGAAAACTTGGGAGGATATTGAATGTCTGTCTTGAATTATTCTGCCCAGGCCTCTTGTCTGACAGTAGTCTTCCTTTCCTATAGATGTTGGCCTAGCTGTGTATACCTACTAGCTGTAAACAATTTTTTGCCTACTCTGTAGTCAATGAAAAAACACTGTATAACCATTTCACTACTCCACTCCCAATAGTCAGGTGTTCTGTGCTGCAGATACCAGAAATCAAAGGTTTTGCTTAACCTATGTCACCAAGGTAATCTATTTATACAGGATATTCACTAAACTGGAATTTGACCAAGGAATTTTAAAAAGTTTGGCCAAAATAGCCAGGTAGGGCAAACAATGTTGCATTGTCACCTAGAATTTCTAGTTCTGTGCTTTAATTCTGTTTTAGTGAATAACCCATTAGTATTTTAAAGTGGATCTGAAATTATTTTTTGTCTTCCAATTTTTGTTATAAGCAAAGTTTTGTTGTTTTTTATTTTTTTTCTCCCTATGTGGACTTGTTTGCATATTTAATACACACCCCTGTAACATTAATGCTAGCTACACACTTGTGTGTTGCTCAGTCAAGTCTAGACATTAATATGTAATATCCAGTAATGATCTAGACCTGTAGTGCACTTTTTTTTTTTTTTGTATTGGCAAGGATCGTAATGTGTACCTCTGCCAACCCTGTCTAGGGCCTTGCCCCAATAAGATGATTCATTCATCCAGGGAAGAGGAAGGACTAATCCGGATCACTGTTGCACCAGTGTTCCCAGGTATGTCTATAGGCCATTAATGAAACACTAACTGTAAACACAGAAATTTAGTTTTTATGGGTTTAGGAGGTTAGCCTAGTGTTGTTAAAGCAGCTGCTATCCAGCTTCAGATCCCATAACCATGCTATTTTATGCAAGCAGCTGAAGACGTAATTTGCGTTAGCGGGTATATACTCTACTTTGTGAGCAAATAAATCGTCTATAAACGTTTTTTCCCTGAGATTACATGGTATGCTATTTGTCTAATTGACTATTTAAACTGAGAAATAGTGATGCCAGATTACCTTATGTGGTTTTGTAACGGATTACAGAATTTACATGAATCATATTTAATAAATAGCAGATGTGCTCTTTTTTTATGTTGGGAAATAGACAAATCTGCTCACAGAAACATCAGAGTGAGCTGAAAGAGGTTGAAGACTGGATAGCTATTGGAGGTCACTACATCATTAAAACTGCAGGATTCCCAACTGTGACCCTTACTAATTAGACATTCCTCTCCCTGCAGTCTATATGAGCAGGCACGCTGTTTGCCGACGGGCCTTATTTTCTGATATCTGCTGCTATACTGAAAGTATCCTTTATTTATTTTTTCCCTCCAACATTCGTTATAATATATAAAATTTTCTTCAGATAAAATGTCATGTATTTTTTCCAATAGTTTTTTTTTGTCACTGTTAATGAGTGAATTGATGCCTAATTAGAAGAAAAAAAAATGTTCTGTTGTCAAAAGCTCAACCTGTCTCTCTCGGTTCACAGTTAAGATCGCCAATGGAAAAAACCCATACCTAGCTGTTCTGACAGCCTGGCACTGCAACTCAATGGTAAACTTGGGAGCAAAACACAGACGTGTTTTGTTTCTGCTTCCGTCTGCACTGTTGTACAAGCTGATCTGCTCCACTAATAAGTTCACTATTACACCGTGGATGTTCATTGTCATCAAAAAAAAAAAAAAAAATGGAATACTGTACTGCAACCTTTGTCCTGGTTGTGACCTTTCTATTAAAGAGGAATATAAAATACCTCACAGCAGGGTTGTAGAGGAGCCCATTATCTGAATTCTGTAGATTTACATGAAATGTCCTTGTTTAAACTCTTCACTGCCATGGGATTTAGTAACCACCAATCTGCGTCGTACTTATAAAGTGGCCACATTCTGCTGCTCTGTTCAGCCTGTTTAATAAGAGATATACAGCCTGTATGATGCTATTCATATCTTACAGTATACCTGATGTTTGTGTGGGCTTGCACTACCTGGCAGTCATTGGGTTTTAAAATGTCATACTGATTCTCTGAAGAAAACATTTAAAGAGAAATTTATCATTTATATGTGTGCATATAAGTGTTTATAGTCTTTCAACACAAAAGATAAAGACATCGAAAGCTTTCTAGAACACAACCAGAACAAAGTGTTTTGTTTTTTTTAATTCCTTATTTACAGATATCTGTACACTGATCATATCCGGTGCATACCATGTATGCTAAAACTGCTACATCAGTTTAGGACTGTTGCATATGTGTAAGACCAGAAAATCAATACTTCTATAGTCTGCATTTCTGAGTGATCAATTTTAATTTTTCAGAGTGATACTGGTTAGAAGTAATGTCTATCTTTCTACATAGCATAGCTTTGAAGAGAGATAGACATTACTTCTATATTTTCTACGGCAACTGATGTTTTTTTAAACTGTGCTACGTTTCAGATTCTGTCATTCATTCAGCAACAGAGGAGGAAATTAAATAAAATAAAAAAAATAAAAATGTTCAGTGTAATAAACTAAATCAAGCCCCATGGTCTGAAATGTACCTATGCTTGGATAATTGTAAATTGCACAATAAAATATTGGTTCAGGCCATACAATCCTTTGAGTAGTCTTGGACTCTTGCTTCTAAGTAATAGTTTATTCATCTTAAAATTATCACTATAAGATATTGTGCTTTTTTTAAAATTTATTTATTTATTAAATACAAATGAAGCAAACAGTTCTATTGATGTCCTTTTTCAAATCTTCAAAGTAATCTCCCAGTCACTCAGCAAATCTATGAATATAAAAAAAAAAAAAATACAATCTGAGTTTGCTATTCCTAAGGCAATCCAACCATGTGTTTCTCTCTATGCAACTTTGGTTTTAGAAACATGGCTGGCCATCAATGCACTCACTCAATCACCAAGTGACAATTTCAAAGCTCACATGATGTAATAGTTTTTGGGGTTGATTTTTTTTTTTTAAATTAGGGTTTTAGTTACAATATATGATCATACATTGCTACAACATCAATTTTAAAAAAAACTAAAAACAAATGTTCCAAAAAAAAGTCTAATGAAATTCTAAAAGTCTTGGTGTACGACGTTGATGTGTTTCTTTTGGGTTAATGGGTTGTAATTTGTATGAGCTGTAAGCATTCTGACTGGAAAAAATATGGAATTTGCAGTTTAATTTTTTTGTAACAAAAAGTAGTACAATAAAGGTGCAATGTGCTCTCCCTTTTCACTAAAAACTCCACCCCTTTTGCAGAAACATGTCCTCTTATGATCCAAATAATTGTTGGCATATTCTTACCCTCATACTTGGATGTGCAAATGTCTCACCCCAGTTAGTCTTTTTAAGTCTTATTGCGAGGAAACCAATCCAAGTGAAATTATCAGCATCATTGATTCTCGATAAGGAGCAGCGCGTATCAGTCATCCTTCCCATATTTGCACTTTGGATGTCAAGTGTTCCTAGTACAAACACAGATATAATGACTGTAGCCTCTCAGCTGATTACTATTCTCAATGTCCTGTCTGAGACTGAATGGATTTTAACTAATACCTGGAGACGTTGGGCTTGTTACGTCAAATATGCTCTGCATAGGTCAGCAATCACATAATATACTGGCTAAACTATTACCCACTTGGTAATTTCAATATCTTACCACAATAAAACCATGCAAAAATGTTGATTTAAAAAATTAGACTTTTCATAAACAAGCCTGTAAACGAGAGTTCTGTGCTGAATATGATTTCAGACCACCAATAGGCTTATATAAGGTTTATTATAATGTATCCAGCACATTTGCTTCCATCTTACTGTGGAAAGGTTTGGTGAGAATTTGCAACACATTGCACCAGTGCTTGTGCTCTATCATTGAGTGGGTTAGTTATTGATGAAAGGAACTTTATTGTGCATGTACAAACAAACTGTGATATTATGCCCTCTCAGTTAAATACTTCTACAGGTTGACCTTCAACAAGAAAAGAGAAATAAAGAGGAAAAAAAATCCCTTAATAAGCGTATGTAATGAGCCAGCCGTGCTCTCTTTTACCAACATATTTGTGATGTTTTGGTTAGATATTCCCACTCTAATTCTCTGAAAATACTCTCATGAAAGAAAATCCAGAATAAGCTATTAATTCATGCAACTTTTATATGCTTGAAATGCAGTTTAAAAAATCCAAAATCTTTAAATTTAGTGTGACTTTTTTTTTTTTTTTTTTTTAAGTGCTTTTATTCGTATAATATACATATTTATTTTTTCTGTCTTTGGTCTTTTCACTTTTAGCATTTTTCAGTCACTGAAACAGGATATAGAAATCTGGATTTAAAAAAAATAAAAATAGTATTGCAATGAAGGCTCTAACAAATATTGGCCAATATCTGCAGCTTTAGAGTGGTGTTTACTAGCATTTTAAGGGCCTTTGTTTTGGCTCTTAATATTTTAGTAGGTTAATGTTACATTTGCATGACTGTTTTTTGCATTTTGTCTGTTTTTAATGGCTTTTATTTTTCTTCCCCCTCCCTTTTCTCTCTCCTTCCCTCATCCTTTCCAGGGATACGTCTGCGGGTTCGAGCAGAATACTGCCATCATGATTCAATTCTGAGGCAGAATGTCCTGTCTGTAAAACAAGACCCATTGGAGAAGCAGTTTGACCTTTTTAGTCAGTCCAACACAGTACTAAAATCTCGGGACCTTGGCTCAATTATTTGTGACATCAAGTTCTCAGAGCTATCCTACTTAGATGCCTTCTGGACGGACTACATGAATGGTTCCCTGTTGGAGGCACTTAAGGGGGTTTTCATTACAGATTCTCTGAAGGAGGCTGTGGGTCAAGAGACCATCCAACTTCTAGTCAATGTAGATGAAGATGACTATGAGGAAGGCCGCCGACTGTTGCTGGAAAATGTTCCTCAGCTGTCTGGCTGAGCTCTGAGAGTTGTGCCAAAGCATCTTATCCTACCTGCTGGTAATCAGGAAAAAAGACTCTAGAAATTAAACATTTTCCACGGGGCCTGCTTTCAGTGGTTCTTTTTCCCTCATCTGAGACCGTACGATGTTGCTCTTTCTGCAGTGTAGAAAGTTTACTTAAAAATAAAAGTTGGGTTTGGATTGGGAAACTTGGTGAACCCCCACTGTGGACACTGAAAGGAGGGCATTGCCATGGGAGCAATTCTTTTTTTTTTTTTTTTCTTTTTTTTTTTCTTTTTTAAATAAGGTTTGTAGCTCACTTTTTCTTTAGAGTTTAGAGACTTAAATGGAAGTTTGGTATTTTTTGATTCCAGATGAAAGCGTTGTCACACAAATACTATTCCTGGCCCTAAATATATATATATATATATATATATTTTTTTTTTTTTTTGAAGGCTTTCATTGAGCCCAACTTTTTTTCTGTTTTCTAGATGTATGAATATGGCCTTTTGTTTCTTGGTCTGAAACCATTAAAGATTGTCTTGGTGCAAAAGGTGTGCATATGATCAGGTCTTGAATTAAAATAAGCAGTGTGGCTCTCTGAAATACCTGCAATTTATTTTTACTTGCTGGAAGCATTTCCTGCATTGATACTTATAATCCCCACTGTCCGTGCACAGAAACAGTGATTACATTTATGTTTCTCAAAGGGGTTGTTTTTTTTTTTATTTTTTATTTTTTATTATAAATCCTTAATGCTTCCCCCTCAAAACAAATAAATAAACCTCACACAAAAGCTATATTGTAAAGTCTAAAAGAATGTTTATAGAAAGTTATGATACAATCCAATAATTTTCCATGTGAAAATGTATATGTAAAATTAATCTCCATGAGGACCAGTGCACTATACTTTTTTTTTTTTTGTACTATGTGACTTTAAGCATCGCTGTCTGCATATAGGGATGGGGGCAGCACAATTCAAAGTTCTGTTGTCTAACTTTCTAATTGTGGTCCAGTCCTGTTGGCTGAAGTAAGCTCAAATTTAAATGTACATTGAAGCATATAAGGGATTAATGAAAAGATTGGTAAGATTATTCTGGAAATTAAAAATATCCCCCTTTTGCACAGCTAGTCACCCCCTATGTTGTGAGGTGTTTTTTCTTTTCTTTCTCTATACAGAATTTATGAACTGCACTTTGTACTGGACCCTTTATAAAAGGGAGATTTTCGTTTTAACCTGTTAACTTTCAAAGAAAGTTGTAAATGTTTTTGTAAAACATTTCTTTGTCTTGAAAATAAAAATTTAAAAAGTTGTCTTGTTTGCTTTTCCTATTAAATTGACATTGACAATGAAAATAACTACCACACTTTACACTAACAGGTGTATGTTACCTGTTGTGTAGCCATATCAGTGTTCTAGTACAACTACACTCTGTACGTGCCAGATTTTAGCATTTGTATTAGTCTATTTTGAAACACAATGGGCATAATCTTTCCGATGCTTGTTAGCTGCTTGAATAAAAACGCCAATATTCCTACGGATCTGTGCTACACTTGAGTGCTTGAACATGGAGGTTGCAGATCTCCCTGGTGATAAGATCATTCTGGTCTTATCACACCAGAAAATGCCTATGTGGTTGACCTTGGGAAGTTACCTAGATAGATTATATTGGGACCATATTTTTTCCAGTTTGTGCAAACATGCTAATTGGCAATCTCTGAGTTACGTTTTTTTGGGGAAAATTTTTTTTACTGATACAGTAGCACACTAGTCACTTAGTTTTTGCTACATTGAGAGAGATTTTTTTATTTTATTTATTAACTCTAGTAAAATTTAAAATCTTAAATTATTTCTGTTTATAGAGTTACTGTCTAAACTCCCAAAAGTACTTGTATTGAATCCGGTCTAAGTGGGATCTTCATTTAATTTTTATTTTGGGGGGAGTGGGGGTTCTTTGCGATTTCATTCTCTGTCCACCAAAACCATGAAAAAAAATTATTACTGTCCTTCAGGAGCCTGGAAAACTGCCTTTGAAATGTTGACATTTTCTCAAGTTAAAAAAGAGCAAGATAGATTAAGCTGTTTCAGGTATATATTTGAGCAAATATGTCCTTTTGCAAATAGACCCCTTAATGAGATGCAAATGGCATAATAAGAGATGAAAGTGCTGCTAGTATTTGTGGTTTTATCCCATGAAATATTTGATGGACTTCGTGCTTTTACCATGCACCGACAACAGAAATTTGGATGAAATGCAATAACAATGGATGCATAGCAGACCAGCTATCAAATTCAGACAGGATGTGATTGTGGAGCGCTGGTGTAATAGCATTAAAGTAACTAGTATATTAACAAATATAAGTGTGCTGTAACTAGACAGGAACGTAGGTTTTTTTTTTTTTTGTTCTTTTTTGTGTGGGATATGGCGGTTTAGCCATGCCCACTTGAGTCTAAAGTTTGCGTTTAATGATCTACTGCACTAACCAGTCCTGTGATTAATAAAGAGATTTACATGGATATCTTTTTGATTTGTAAAAAATTAACTCAAACATACGTGCAGCTAGAGTAATGGTTTTAGCACTGGGTCTGGCTATATAATTTCATTGTAAGAGTTACAATTTACACTTCCTCCTGTTCCTTTCTCTCTGTCTAGCTTACTTCGTAAGGACTTTTGTCCTTGAAGAGGAGTTTCTCTTTTCATTTTGTGTAGCCCTCCAAAATCCATATTTCCTTGACTGTTACATAAAATATGGTCTGAAAAGAATTAAGTTCAATCTTTCCTTTATCTGTTTCTGCAGCTGTTCCAAAAGAAGGTGAAGACACCAAATGCCTTAAACTAACACGGCACATGAAGACTTTAGCGTTGGGAATCCAGATTTGTATTGAAGGAGCGCTATAGGGTCAGGAACACAAACCTGTATTCCTGACCCTATAGGGTTAAAACCACTATCTAGCCCCCTTGGCTTCCCTTACTTGTATTCAAGCCTGAAGCTGCTGCTTGTGCCTGTGAACTTCGCTGACATTAGCAGAAGTGGTAGCCTGATCCAATCACAATGCTTCCCCATAGGATTGGCTGAAACTGACAAGGAGGCAGAGCCAGCACAAGTCACACAGTCCTGACCAATCCGCATCTCTTCATAGAGATGAATCAATGCATCTCTGAGGAAAGTTCACTGTCTGCATGCAGAGGGAGGAGACACTGAATGTTTGGATGCATTTTCGGTGGCTGTAATGTAAACACTGCATTTTTTTCTGAAAAGACTGTGTTTATAGCAAAAATCCTGAAGGTAATGATTCTGCTCACCAGAACAAATTCAATAAGCTGTAGTTGTTCTGGTGACTATAGTGTCCCTTGAACAATAAAGTGTCCCTTTAACGAAATTGTAAGTCCTTCCTCTTGGCACTTAAAATAATTTTCCAGCTACAGATGTTCCACTTTCACATATCTTTAAGGGCATGGACTAGGGAGTCAAACTGAACGAACTGATTTACATGTGGACTGCCATGCAAGGTTTGCAAGGAGATTCTATTAGCTCCACTCAGATTGAGTGTCAGTTGTGCCCCCTCAGCCAATGAGCTAAATCCTGCGTCCAGCTGCACAGGAGGAGGTGCCTGGCGTCCAGCAGACCCCAGATAAGTTGTCAAACCGTAAATACAGCCATGTTTTCTATATATTGTTCTTGTAGAAGTGATAGTGTAGGGCAATCCACCATTTTCAAACACCACCCCATTCATTACTAAATGTCTTCAATCTGATAGGCAACACTTTGTCCAGAGTGCAACCCCGTGGATTTCAAATGGAAGCCGGAAAAAAAGTTGTCACACTTGGTGGGGTAGAAAGTGCAAATAGTATAGTGACTGCTTCATAGTTGGTGTAAATGTCCTGGTACAGTGCCACCAGTACTTGGCAAGTGTTGGCATAAAATCCCTGGTTCTGCATTTCCCATTACAGATAAGAAAGGCATGGTTAGTTTAAGCTTAACTGGCACAGATGCAGTGGAGGAGTCTGGTATAGAAGCAATTAAAGACATAATCCATGAACGATCCCATCTGTAAGGGTAGGAGCAGATGTCACGTTATTGGGGTAGATAAAAGCAAGACGAGGTCTTAGGATGCAGAAACGTGAAATCCACCTTGGCCTAGTTAGACCAGCTGCCAAACAATCAATGTACCAATCATTGGAAACCAGAGTTTTTAGTGGGTGACAATGGGAAGACTGAGTTGGTATGTGAGGCTGTGATGTATGATGGTATCACCAGTGGGCACCTAGTATGTCGCTGAAAATCTGGACAAGGGATGCTGAATTTAAAGGTGGTAGTTCCAGGATCTACCCCAGATAACGCGCCCGATCTATCACACCGGCTGCAATCTGCAATATATGGATAGCTGTACCTGCCATCCTTTTCAGTTGCTGGAAGAGATGGACTTGTCGCAAACAGAAGGTCTCAATGCTGAGAGAAAGAGAGGGTGGAGATGGGAGTCGGACAACAGGCAAGGTCACAGTCTGCGTGGATAGTTCGATCTCACTATGAACTATGGTCCCCTGCAGTAGTTCCATCACAAATGGTCATTGATCACGCCCTTAGTACGTGTAGAATATTTTCCAGCTGAATTTGTGATTGATGCTTCTGATGTCTGTGATATTTTAGGGATTTAACAATCTCCACTGTGGAACCTCTTTATTGTGTCTTTTTCTTTTGTTTATTCATTTGGATATTATACCAATTTAAGTCACCATGTTTGCAATATACAGGCAATTTTGAAATTTGCATTTTCAAAAAAAAAATACTAACATTCCTTAACAAATACTCTTATGCATTCTGCTATTTTTATTTATAATTTTCCACATGTTAAAAATATATTTTTCTTTCTGCATTCATTTTTTGAATCTCAATATAACCACTATCCCTAGACTATTATTGCAAATGATTAATACATGCACTAAATATTGCATTCTACAAATTTATGACTTTTGAAAACGAATGTTTTGCCTGAATTTTACATTATGTCCTGAGTTTCAAATAAAGGTTACACCAATTTAAAAAATAAATAAAAATTAAATAATAAGAATATAGAAGTAAAGGAAGTGAAGAAATGTGCCCTATCAATAGATAAATCCAATAAATTAGGAAAATCCATTTCTATCATGACTGCCCTGGCAAGCATTTGTCATGAATGGATTTAAAAGGATTATAGATTGCAGAATATCAATTGGTTACCCCTGCTGTGCCGGTTGGTTAACAGCTTGGGTAAGCCAACAGCCAAGCTAAATATACAGGTTTATTCACTCAAGTCTTAGTGGCTCTGTACTAAACAGGGCAAAACCATTCTTCTGCTTATAGGCCCATTAAGACTTAAATGTCCAGACATAGTTCACACTATTAAACAATGTCCAGACTTTATACACCAAATTAGCCTGAATTTCAGCCAGTCCGAAAGCCACTGGAAAACTGAAATCTAAACTCGAATGCTTTAAATTTTTCGTGTCCGGATTTAAAAAAAAAAAAATCCAAACTATTTGCCAGTTGTCAGAGCTAGAAACCATCAGCCGAATAGTTAAATATATTTGGTACTGCAAGGGTTAATTATGTGGTGGCTGTCTTGTGCTTGTTTGCCAGCCACCATATTGGAAAAGTAAAATAATAAATAAAATAGCATATAGGGGTCAATAAGACCATATGGCCAAACGAAGTAAGTAATTATAAAGATTAGACTCTGTTGTCTTCAATTTCGTCCACCTTATTTTTAATTGGTGCAGAACCTATAACCCCTCCCTTCCCTTTGACTGAAAGCTTCTTGTATTATTTGATATGTGATTTGTAAAACACTTTTGTTTATGTATTCATTTGATATACAAATTGCATACCCTATATAATCTGTATTGTCACACTGTGGTGTTAGCTTGCGAAAGATCTCTTGGGGGTCGAAACATTGCACTTTTACAAATAAACCTGCTGTTCAACTGATCCTTGAGTGCCTGTACCACAATTTTGTTCAACTATACACACACATACAAACACAGTTATACAGAGACATTCAGATACAGTCATACAGACACTGACATACACAGTCATACAGAGACATACAGGCACAGACATACAGACAGTCATACAGACATTGACTTACACAGACATACAGACACAGTCATTCACAGACATACCTACAGGCACAGACATTCAGATACAGACATACACACACTGACTTACACAGACATACGTACAGAGACATACAGGCACAGACATTCAGATACAGTCATACACAGACATACACACACTGACTTACACAGACATACAGACATAGTAATACACAGACATACAGACAAAGTCATACACAGACATTCACACTCAGGCATACAATTATACATCAACATTTATTTCTATGTCCCTAAGTGTCCCCACCTTGAGTGCCTGGGTCATAATTTTGTTCAACTATACACAGACATCAGGGGAGGGCTGGCAGCCTTAGGCCTGGGGGACAAAACCAGTCAAGTGGCCCATTGCACCACCAAATCAGTTCACCATCCATGCCCACCTGGTTTTATAACGGATATTGATGTTATGCTAAGCAGTAGCTCTTTGCCATACCCGCTCCTTCACGGCTCTGACTTTCAATGTTGTCAGAGCGCAGGCTGAGAATCTCTGAGCCTGTGCTCTGACTTACTAACTGAGCGCCAGAACCATGAGGGAGAGGCTATAATCCGACTGCACCTACTGCTGGTGAGCACCAGTGGACCACCAGCGAATCATTTAAATTGAATATGCTGGGGTCTCCAACTTGTGAGCTATGTTGGCCGCCGGGCGCCTCTGTTGTCATGGCACCCTGCGTGACCACACAGCTTGCACACCCCAACGGCTGGCCCTGCTGACACATACTGATGTTACTACTTAGAAATCCCTCAATATTAATACAGACATCAGAGTAAACACCAATAAACTGTGCAAACAGAGCTGATCCCCCCAAAGATTTGCTTAATGGATTTGTTGTAAGATTAAATCATGCCTCCTCCTCTCCCTCTCCCATGCGCTGCGCTGTAGGCTGGGAGGAAGTGAAGAGTAATCACATTCTCTCAGCACAGCGCCACCTGTGGCTGCATGGGGAACAGCTGTTTAATGTAATGCTTGCAGGACGGCCACCTGCCGCAGAACCTCTTAGTTCCCATCGCTGCAAAGGGCTCCAGGCACTCCTTGCTGTGAGTGTGAGCCACTGTAAATTAGGGGCAGAGGGCACTTTCACTGCGGTAAAGACAGGTCTGGGCAGGAGGAGAGTGCAGTGCAATCCCCTCCTGTGGGTCACCAGTAGACTGGTGCACCTGCCCAGGATCAGAGCCGGTGCAAGGATTTTTGCTGCCCTAGGCAAAGGAAAAATAAGCTGCCCCCCCATGTGACATCACAATGTCCCACCTATATAATCTGCCATATGAACTAATGCCAAATCTGCACACAGTGTGTGTTTACATTAAAAAGCCTGCAGGGACCGGCTATAGACACCAGAACTACTTCATTAAGCTATAGTGTCCCTTTAATGTGAGGTAAATGATAGATTAGTGTCACTAATAATATACTAGATTGCCTACTTACAACCAGATGAGGATGATGATGGGCTGCGGTTTGGCTCCACTGGTCTGGTGTAGAAGAGGATCTCTGAAGGCTGTTTGTAACTGTGGTCACAAAATTCAAAGTTCTAGTAGAATGGGAAGCAGCTCCATTTTTTGGGGGCCCCTTAAACAGCTCAAGGTCTGGGTCCCAGGGCCTGACGGTGAGTATGCCCATAAGGCCCACCTAAAAGTCCACCTAGATGTTCCACCCATGAGTTCGCTCACAGGGAGTGGAGTGTGTAGGGGATGTGTTATTGTAGAGGATCTAATGTGTGTACTTATGGTATGTAGTGTATAGGGATACCAGTTTGTGTAGGTGATGCAGTGTATTTGTAGTGGAGGCAGTGTGTGTTTGTGTATAAGTGATGTATTGTGTGAATCTGTGTTTGTATGCATAAGGGATGCAAGGTGTGTGTCTGTAGTGTGTGCATTGAGTGTGTGTATGAAATGCATTGTGTTTCTGTGTATATGTAAGAGAAGCAGTGTGTGTGTTTGCATATGTGTGTAAGGGTTTGCATTGTGTGTTTCTGTGTATGTGTGCAAATGATGCATTGTCTTTGTGTGTAATGGGTGCACTGTGTGTTTCTCTGTGTGTGTAGGGATGCATTGTGTGTTTGTGTATGTATAGGGATGCATTGTGTGTTTGTGTATGTATAGGGATGCATTGTGTGTGTGCGCGTAGTGTGAAAGAGCTCCCTGTCCTGCCCCCTGTCCTATAGAGCTCTCCTCTGCCCCTTAGTGGTCTCTCCCCCCCCTTCCCTAGCAGTCACTTCTCACACCCACCCACCCTCCCTGTGCTCTTCTCATCCCCCCACCCCCCCAAACCTCCGGTATTCTTTTCAGCCCCCTCCCTCCCTGTGTTCTTCTCACCCCCCCATGTGTTCTCCTCACCTCCCCCCATGTGTTCTACTCACTCCCTCCACCCTCCCTGTGTTCTTCTCACTCCCCCACCCTCCCTGTGTTCTTCTCACCCCCCCCCTCCTGTGTTCTCCTCACTGTGTGTGTTCACTCACTCACCTCCCCACCCTCCCTGTGTTCTCCTCCCCCCCTCCCTGTGTTCTCCTCCTCCCCTCCTGTGATCTCCTCCTCCCCTCCTTGATCTCCTCACCTCCCCTTCTCTCCCCTCCTCCCTGTGATCTCCTCACCTCCCCTTCTCTCCCCTCCTCCCTGTGTCCTTCTTACTCTTCCCCCTCCTCTCTGTGTTCTTCTTACTCCCCCTGTTCTTCTTAACCCCCGTTCGTCTTAATTCCCCCAATCCCCCTGTTCTTCTTAATCTCCCCACCCCCCTGTTCGTCTTAATCCCTGCATCTCTCCCCCTTCTTCTAATCCCTCCCCCTTCTTCTTAATCCCCACCCCTCCTCCTTCTTAGTTTCTCCCCTCCCCTTCTTCTTAGTTTCCCCTCCTTCTTAATTTCCCCTCCCCTTCCTTCTTAGTTTCCCTCCCCTTCCTTCTTAATTCCCCTCACCTTCCTTCTTAATTCCCCTCACCCCTTCCTTCTTACTCTTAATTCCCCCTCACCCCTTCTTCTTAATTTCCACCTCCCCCCTTCTTCTTAATTTCCCCCTCCCCCCTTACCTCTCCTCCCCTCCCCTGTAGCGTGGCCGAGCTGCTCTTCTGTCCGCGGTGCCGGCCGGACTGACAGGAAGGAGTGTGCACTTTCTTTCAGTCCGGCCAGTGACAGGAAACAAAAACTCTTGTTCCGCGCGGAGTTTCTGTTTCCTGTAACCGGCCGGACTGACAGGAAGTGCACACTGAGTGTGCACCTTCCTATCAGTCCGGCCGGGCACCGCGGACAGCAGAGGAGCTCGGCCAGCTACAGTGGAGGGGAGTATATGTGTTGCAGCCGCCTGAGGCTCTTAACAGAGCGCTCAGGCGGCTGCAGCATTTAAAGGGCCGGCCCTGCAGTGGCCGGTCCTGACAGAATTTAGAGCGGCCTGGGGGGCAATTGCCTCCCTGCCCCCCGGCCCAGCCCGCCCCTGACAGACATACAGACACAGTCAAACAGACTCTGACATACACAGTCATACAGAGACATACAGACATTGACCTACACAGACATAAATACACAGTCATACAGACACTGACATATACAGACACTGATATATACAGACATTCAGACTCAGGCATACAGTCCTCATACATGCAGTCACAATTAAGAAATAAATGTAAATATACAGCAACATCTATTTCTGTGTTCCCCATCTTCATCATTGAGCAAGACTGCTCTCCCTCTATAAATCCTCCCTGTAGAGAGACCTGGATACTTACAAGTTTTATCTCTCGGTTTCTGTTTTTGGAGGGGGCAGGGGTGAATACTGCAGGGCTGTAAAAAGCTGCTCTGCCTGTTAACCATTTCAGTGCTGGGAAGGCAGACAGGAGGCAGCCACATCACACTCAGAGCAGCATTCCTCACTGAGTATGAGTGTGAGGAAGCAGGAGGAGCAAAACATCCACCTGAGAGGATCTCCCAGCATGTGTCTCCCTGAGTATCTCACACCACTCTACCTGTCTGAGGGGAGCATGGGGAGAGATACATAATTGCAGGTCTGGTAGATACTGCCAAAGAATTCCATCCTGCATTGCCGGTATTCCTGCAATACTAGTACTGGCCACACAACCTTAAATACCATCTGTGTCGGTAAAATACCGGTCAGGTGGCAACCCTATTAAATAATTGGGATATAAGGAGGTTTCGCCTGTATTTTTTATATACTAGGGAATGGGGCCTTTCTAATGACTGAGCAACAATGGCTGCGCTGTCACTAGTTTAAAAATTTTTTTTATAGCTATGCCATCATCTGCTGCAT